GAAACCGCCCTGAAAAACTATACTAAACTATAGATATCGTTACAAGTTCCTAAACCTGTATATCTATATATATAAAACTCAAAGGTGACTGACTGACTGACATAGTAATCTATCAACGCACAGCCCAAACCACTGGACGGATCGGGCTGAAATTTGCCATGCAGGTAGATGTCATGATGTAGGCATCCGCTAAGAAAGGATTTTGATCAATTCTCCCCCCAAGGGAACAAAATAGGGAATGAAAGTTTATATGAAACTTTGACAATCATAAACCGATCGGGCTGAGACTTTGCATGCAGGTATAAGAAGAATCATAAATGAATGTCATTGTGTATAATACAAGCCTGAGAACAAAAACTGTAGTCTACACTTCAGCTCTACACCGAAGCGAAGTGAGGGCGGGCCGTAAGTAGTTTTCATAACTAAAAACATCAAGGTTCATGTAAATGTCAACTTTCGGTAACTTATTATTATTTATTGTCAAAGTATGTCTCGTTTAAACTTTGGATCGTCATAGCGAGTTATCGGCTTAGAAGTCAATATGAATTTTTTAGTAACCGACTCAATTGCCGGAACCCTAATGGCGATCATACGTGTATATGCTATTATTATGCCTTCGCTTTTAAGTCTAAAAATCGATATACTCTATAAATATGTACTGCCTACTTGCTTTCTCGGCGGCTTCGCTTGGATTTTGAGAGATATGCTCTACGTACCTAGAAAATTTTAAAAAAGAGTTAAGATAAAATTAAATCTATGTTTCAGTTCAGTTCGTTTTTGCATGCTGGAAACGGATAATTGTGCGCACTGGTCTAATCTGGTCTGGTAACTGCAAATAAATTTCATTTTATTTCATTTCAGTGAATGAATGAATGTCAAATTAAATAAATAAATAAAAAACTCTACAAAAAATCTCTTAAGTTCAAAGATTTTGGTGCTCCATACAAACTCAGAACACCCGTTTTACGACATTAGTGGGTATTTTGGAAAATTTAAAATTTGGCACTGCTAGATAACTCTAAAATAAAAAAAACGACGGGTTGCACTCCGGGAGCGCCGGTAGAAGTGAAAACTTGAATATTAACGTTGTGCATTTTTGATATTTTGGAATGGTTAGGGAATAATTTTGCACGAATGCTTTAATTATCAGTATAAAAGTACTATCATGTATGTGTAGACTACAATATTTATTTATTGCGCTATCGTACACAAACATGACAATTAATATTACATTAAAAAAGTTTATTTCTCAGAAAAATCAACTTACATGAATGACGTTTAAGCGCACTTAAAGATATCTATTGTAAAGAAATCAACTTACATAAATCACATTTAAGCGCACCTAGCGACATCTATTGTAAAAAAAAATGCATTTTCTTCGCAATAAAGCTGCCACGTGGACGTCCTAGATAGAGACTTATTATTATAATACGGTAAAATAAAATATTACTATGATTCATCCAATATATTGTAAATCAACAACCTTTCCAATTTTATTGTGTGTCATGATGCGATCAGCCCACGTGTTTAACATTTTTTTTTTAATTATAAGTAATTTATATGTTTCTACCTCTTCATTAAGATCAAATCTGTATATAATATCATTTGATAGTTCGTGTCTTTTGCAACAGTATTTATACTTATCCTTTTAAAAAGGTAGCTCTTCAACAGGTAAGTTATGTAACTCTTCTTCCCACAACTTCTGCGAACCTTGATCCAACTTATTTATAATGATTTAAATGATCAAAGGATACCAGTTATCAGTATTAACATCAATGTTTTTCAAACTGTTCAAACACTCATTTGTTGTATCTAAGAGATCTTTTATTCTCTTTGCTGTTTCAGAATATAACTTTCTTTGACCTAGTAATCTATTCAGGATTGAATTTACTATTATTCTTTTATTATTGTATCTGTGGTGTAATGTAGCCCATGCAGTTTCATAATTCTTCTCTGTGATTAGAGTGTGCTTTAGAAGAAGCTTAGGTTCCCACTCACATTGCTTTTCAAATAATGTAACTTTTGTACGTTACTTAAAGTCTTATTTTTATGAATTAATGACGCATATAAATCTTTGAAAGCAACCCATTCATTATTATATCCTTTGAAATTGGGTATATTAATCTTAGGCCATTACACTTCCTGAGTATGCTCATCCAATGGAATTTGCTGATCATTCTTCACCTTTTGACACTCCATACAACGCCGCGAAAGAAGTTTCGCACTTCAAAAATGAAAAGAAATAACTATCAATGTCAAATTGATGATTGAAAAGACCTGTTTGAACTGAAGAACTGGCTGGAAACAAGATCAGACAAGCTGTCATAGGTTTTAGAGCAGCACAGTTGCGTAATTGCATCGCAACCGTTAGTAACCGGTTCACTGGTCCTTTGAAGATATATTCAAGGTCGTTTATCTTTCGGCTTTTTTTTTGAGTGTGTATATGCTATTGGTCGCAGATGACCTTTACAGCGTCACCGGGTTTGAGGACGGCGAGATCCTAAAGGGACCTCAAGCCGAGAATTGGCGAGTGCGCCTAGAGGTATTCCAGGCGGATGGCATCTCCCCATGGGGGGTCTCCTCTTCGTCTGGAGCCTCTAGACCACGAGCACCTGAGGGGGTCGGCTCAACTAGTGGGCGTCTCTGAGACTCGGACCTTGGCTCTAGTTAGCTGTTGTCGTGGGGGGCGGGGAAAAGCGCCCAGCTACGTACCTGTACCTGGTATAGCGTGTCGTGTGTAGACCGGGTCTTCGCACTCTTATCCTACGGGTGCGGTATCTGCCTAATGCTAAGCTAGTGTGCAAGTTTGCTAACTGTATAGTGTTGATGTTTGTGGCCTGTGTGGGAGGAATCGGAGGCGCGTTGGCGTGGGAGAGACACTATAAGACGTGCCTAGGCTGACGGAATCGGAGGGACCTACGATTGCCGGATGGGAGGGCGGACGTGTTATACTCAATTCAATCAAGACTTTCATTACTGGGTTCGGATGATGCGCGGCTTCATCGAAGTAACGTCTCGAGGCGTCCTTCATATAATTCGCGATGGAGTCTAACTTGAGGTCGCGATGCAAATCGATGTTGCACACAATTTTGCAGCGTTTGTAGTGGTTTAAGAAGCGACGGAGGTATTTTTAAACTGCTAGATGTTTAAATCTTTACTAGAAAATTTCAGCAGATGCCACTCGAACTCGCTCCTCCCGCTATCCGGGCGGATGTACTGACCAATTTTGCTACTACGCCGCTAATGGCCGTGTAGAATTTCTTCTAGTATTTCTTAGGCTGCAACGCAGCGCGATCTGTTCGCATTGTAGGTAACCCACAATGTCAAAGGAATCTTCATCATATATGTATGATACATGATGATGATTCCTTTGACTTCATCATCATGATCATTAAAGGAATCATCATCATGTATGTATGATACATGATGATGATTCATTTGACTTTGAATGTATGTAGGATCACGGCACGTAACTCTAGCGCTGAACAAAACGCGGAGGGGATAGCTGCGCATGGGTCGACTGAAGAGCCAATCGGCGCAACGCACGCCGTCGAGTTTCGTAGCGCGAATTAGTGTTGCCGCACACGGGCCACCGACCACAACCACAAAACGCCGCCACCGGCATATTTCTTGTAGTTTCCATACATTTTATATGGACTCACCACACACGGTACGCCGGTGGCCGCCACACGCTACAAATCGTCGTTGCTCGCTTCTTCTTGTGGCCCGCACCGGCCACTTAATGCGCCGATACAAAACGCCGCCACGCGTCACTCGCGCGATTCCCCACCCCTATCTCCCTTACCTTTGTCGGCCGCTGTCGCGCGCTTCAGCCACTTTAGTAGCCGCTTCTAGCTTCTCGAGGCGGCGTTTGTGGCTGTGGAGTGTGGCCCGTGTGCGGCGACACTTAAGTCTTTAAGTTAAAAGTTACCTATGTTGTCGAGCATGACTAGACAGATTCCTTAGGTCACTCGTGCGAACGATTTATTATTTAACTAGCCCAGTTACGAAGTTAAGCCTATTGGGTAACCGTAACATCACGTGATTATGTACGTTACGCGTGAATAGAGCCGTAAAAGCGAATCATTGCATCCATTGATAATAAATAATTATTATTATGTTGGTTGGACAACATAACTCATGTGATGGATATTGTGCTTTAAGTTCTATACGGACTAACAAAATAATCATAATCTTTATTGCTTCATGTTGGTACATACATGGGTTCTTGATATTAAAATAAAGATTCACTAAATAAAACTAGTTTTTACGGGTTAATGTACGAAACTTTATTTATTTATTGACGTTTCGTAGCCTTTACAGACTTCGTCGTCAAAATCAAACTTTTATTTAATTTGTCAAGCTACCTTCGAAAGACTTTTATTGAGCGTTCGGTTATTTCATTGTTTAGACAGTAAAACTTTAAAAATCGAATCGAAATTCGATAATGGTTCGTGCTAGGGGTACTGAACCCTCGGTGCGCGAATCCGAATCGGACTTGATCTAATACATCCAATTTAACTTAAGTATATAACTATATCTAGTTGTATGGCAGTTTGTTAGGTTGCAAGTAGTGATGTACCGTTTCTGGGAATATCGAAATTTAATATTAACTTATTATTTATTATAAATTTAATTACCCGGGAATATTCCACCACTTTCTGGAAATTAAGGTAATATTCCCAGTAGAATTTGTGCAAATTCCTGATGGTAAATTCCAAGAAATTTTGAATATTTCTAACTGCATATTACGGATGAAGTTAGTTGGTGCTGCAGGTAGGCATTTCTGCCGCATAAGCTATCTTCGCGGCTATTCTTAGGCTAAGAACTCAAGGAGCGTTTTTTTCCCGGTGGCCGCAAACTGTTTTATTTCAAAACTCACTAGATTTCATTTTTCTGCGGTACCGCATCTGCCGCATCTGCGGGTTAACACGTCCCAATAAAAATAGCGGTAAAAATATTGAATTGAATTGAACATTCCTTCGTTTTCTTTGTTTCAGATTTAATATTGTGGAAGCGATCCCTACAGTATCAAGACATTCAAAACAAACTCAGCGAAAATGGATTTTTACTACCAGTGAGTATAGCGGCTGTTGACTTTTTAATAATAATAGGACGCACCATGAGACATCAATTAAATTAAATTTTATGCTTGTTAAAGTGACGTTTTGTCTTATCTTACGTATGTAGTGCTGTCGCAATAAGGAGACATTATTATGAAAAGGCGAAACGTCAATAAATAAATAAAGTTCGTGCATTAATCCGTTAAAACTGGTTTTATTTAAGGTGACATTATTAAATTTAGTAATATTTATAAATCTGTCTTGACCTTCATCTTATACATACTCTCTTACATGCTGGTGCAGTCATTGATGTCTGATTCATGAACAAAGATTTATTCGTAAACGTAAATGATTTTTCCTTATTTTCTATTAGGCTTTAAGTAGACACATATGACAAAGTACTTACTTACATGGCAGCAATCCCATTACTAACATAAATTATCATAATGTTAGTAACCGTAAATTAAAATAATATATATCTTGGGCCACTTTAATTACGCCGTGAGTTGGCGTCACTATGCGCGTTCTATCATCTGTACCACGGCGAGTGTTCTGAGGAGTTATTCTCTCTTATTCCACCTTCCCCTTTCCTTCAGAGGACCACCGAACAGCTGGCCGTCGTTGTCATCGTCTAATTGCGACCACAATTCCAATGCGTACAAAGAAATTTGGTGACTCATTTTTTTGTCGCACTATCCGTAAATGGAATGCTCTGCCTGCTCACGTGTTCCCTCCTTCTTACAACCTGGGTTCCTTTAAAAGAGGCGTGAAGAAGTAACATGCAGTCCGGCAAGGTGAGGATGGCTGGTGTGGCAGGTAGAACTGCTGTATCAGCTATCTTCACGTCTGGACTTCACCGTCACTTAACATCAGATGGGGTGGAGTCATTTGTCGTACCTATCTATATAAAAAGAAAGAAAAATATCGATGTATTTAAACTTTTTGTCGATAACAGAAACATGGAAAACCTGAACGGCAACGACCCAGCAACGCCCAACCTTAATGAGACCACGGAACTACCAGGACCGGAGAACGTCGAGGCGATAGCGGATTACTACAACGGCGCTGTGATCCTGGTGACAGGAGGGACGGGTTTCGTAGGGAAAGCTCTTCTGGAGAAACTACTGAGGAGTTGCCCTGGAATAGATACGATTTATGTCCTGATGCGACCAAAAAGAGGCCTGACGGTGGAGCAAAGATACAAGGAATTGCTGAAAAACCAGGTAATGTTATTTCTAATACCGTCTGTCTATTCTAGGTGGTTTAAGCTTTTAGGCCCGTATTATAGAAAGATTCTCAGTAATTAATCAAGTCTTGAGCATAGTCAGAAAAGGATAATGTTATGTATAGCGCATAGCGACATCCCTTTCTAACTGTACTCAAGTAAAGATCAACACTTAGTTGTCATTCTGTAATACGAATCTAAAGCTTCTAGAGCCTTCAACGCATAAGTAACATCCTCAGATATAGATCTGTAGGAAGGCCAAAGCCAAAGAGGCAGATCTTCCTTTGAGCTGGGTGATGGTAGCTCAGGGGCCTCGGTCCGAGTGATGTTGATCGGGCATTGGATATGTAGAGTGTTAGCCTCCGAATTTCATTTGCACGATGTACGCTTCCATACCATTGTGATCGCAGTGCAAGTAGCGCCATCTCTTAAGGAAGCGAGTGATTATTTCCTCCGTGTTAGTTATAATATGGGGCGTGTAGTTGTCGCCGCCATAGATCCAAAAATCCATAATGCAAGTGTATATAGTTCGAGTGCCAAAAGGGTGACCAATGGTCTCCCTTTTACGCTAATTTATTTTCTCGCGTCACCGTTATCGATAACGGACGCAATCGTAACGTATAAAAAATATCTGACTATGTCATATTAAGCTGTGAAAACGATCTCCCGACTTTACTGGAGTTCTCCTGATTTTTCTGAAATTTCTCCTCTTCTACTGTTTTTCTACATGTATGTACTGCTTTTCTTAAATACGACATTCTTTTTTAAATTGCACGTTGAGTTGCGTTTTCCGCCATTAAAAATGTAGATAGTCAGGTCAGGCCAGAAACACATTCGTTACCGGCCTGTATCTTGATCTGATTTACCAATTCTAGGAGTGAAGGGAGGGTGTACAAATCGGGAAAAAGTACGTCTCTGTATCTACTGTTTTTTCTTGTATTTCTTACCATACATCTACTGCTTTTTTCTATAACGCCCCCCGAATTTAATGTGGACCTGGCAACGCTGGAAACAGGTGACCGAGGGTCCATACTTTCATCAATTATTATTTGTTCTCGTGTGTTTTCAAAATCTGACACACGGCTTCCATACAATCTGAAGTACATCATGAGCCTATTAATGTCCCCACTGCAGGGGCATAGGCCTTCCCTATGGATGGAATAGGGAGATTGGGACAAGACCCACCACGCGGGCCCAGTGCGGATTAGCGGGTGCTAACGACTGCAGATGCAGCCAGGACAAACGGCTGAACGTGCCTTCCAAAGCACGATGGAACTCGAGATAGAAGATTTTTGGTCACCCATCCAATGACCGACAACTGCGAAAGTTGATTAAATTTAATGATCGCAGCTGAACGCGCTAACCACTTGCGCCATCGAGCTCCTCAATTGAAGTACACGCGGCGTGAACTTAAATCTAGGTCTATGGTGGTATCAAAACGCAATGGTACTGACCCTTGGACTCAGAGGTATCAGTAATCATTTCTTGCTCCATCATTTGCAAATCAACGTTGATTGCAGACCATATATATACTTCAAAAAACCAGCAAGAGACTCAGCGAAGATTTCAATCTATCCCTTTTATAAATTCATAATCATAACTCTTATACCCTGGGGGCCATTCGCCTAACGGAAATGCTATGGAAAACGCTAACGCTTTCCATTTTATTTTGTTATTTCTGACCGCCGAAGGTTTTCAAATACCTCACGCTCATTTTTTTTAATATTGTTATTACCAATGCAAAAGAAAAAAAAAGAACGCGAGGCATTTGAAAACCTCAGGCGGCTTGAAATAACAAAATGATATCGTAAGCATTAAGCCAGAAACATATTAACGTGTCGTGGCGACACGATACGTAAATATGTCTCTAACCATAGTAAATGTATGAAATCGATGTGCTTCTGGCGCGCCACAACACGACACGTTAATATTTTTCTGGCTTTAGCGTTTTCTAAAGCATTTCCGTTAGGCGAATAGCCCCCTGGTCTTAGTAAGAGCTTTGTTCCCAGGTCTTCGATAGGATCAGGGCCCGCTGGCCGGACCGCCTCAGCAAGCTGCACCCCATCACCGGTGACGTGTCAGCACCAAAGCTCGGAGTCAGCACTGAACAAGCAGAGTTGCTGACGAAGGTCACGACGCTGTTCCACTCAGCGGCCACAGTACGATTCACGGAGCCTCTGCCTGTAGCCACAACGTTGAACGTGCAGGGGACGGCGAGCTTATTGAAACTTGCTGAAGATATGCCAGGGTTGAAGGTAATGATAACTTCTTCTATGCTGTAATTCTACCATCCGAAGTTTTTGGTTAGATATACGGGATATATCGATTTTTTCTTTAGAATATTGTTGGAAGGAGGGGTTTCCATAGAGGTTTTCTGGAATGACGGGTGCCAGGTGGCAACACTTGGTCGAAAGGTCTACTTGCGTGATTCTCTAAACTTGAAACTAAATTTAACATCAGTCTCTCCTTTTCGTTCTGTATAGAGAATGACAAGGATACACTGTTGTCAAATTTAAGTTTAGATTTAGAGAATCATGCCAGAATCGATACCAATCATAGATTGGTATTGGTTTAATTTAAATAATTGCTCGTTCTAGTAATTTAAGTTTTGGTTAAGTTAGTGGTAAAACTTGTTTGGCCAGTACAACTAATATCGGCCGCAATCAATGTCTACTTATCTGTGATCCAGTAGGGAGGCGGCGAGAAATAAGTCCAACACTCAATCACAGAATAACACAGTTTATTCCACAAGCACACACAAGGAAAGTACAGAAGGAGTAAGCACATATAGTCCAAAGCACAAGGAAGAAAGTTCGGAAGAGATAGAAAAAGCGTACACATACAATAACAATAAATATAAGCTTAGCGAAGTTCACAAGCGAGGGAGCGCGGAGCAAAATGAACGTGCGTCTAGTGCCGATAAGAGATTTCGACTGGCGTACGTGACTTCAGTGCGCGCGCGCAGCGCGCCGGCCGGGAGGCCCCGCCTACCAGTTTTAATGCAGAATAGGGTGTGCATGTTTGTGGCAGGACTGACTACGTCGTCCGGCTGGTATACGCTATTGAGTTATTATTTTGATATAAATGTAAACATACTTAAATATTAAATTTATGTAAATATTATTACGGATATATAATTAAGTGTACTTGTAAATGTATATTATAATGTAAATATTGTTTAAGTATATATATAAAATTATATAAATAAATATGAATGTAAAATATTATTAAATGAATATAAATAAAAGTAAAAGTAGGAAAATCGCCTACAAAGTTACTTACGGGATTGTTACCATGTACCTTGTTTTTAGCGAGTTTCCGATATTTCGGCACTGTTGCAAGCGCCATGATCACGGAGTAACTGAAGTAATTGCGTGTAGGCTGTTATTGGCAGACATATCGGTCTACCCTCCGACGAAATCTTTTATTGCGTTCGATACCCGTACCACTGTTCACATTCTCACTATTCACTCGAAACTGTTCTCGACACACAACACTTACAGTATCGGATCGCGACACGACACTTTTTTGATTATTTCCGGTTTTACACATACGAACCACAGGATTCCAGACACTCGACAATTAAACCCGTCCTCGCGATTGAAATTTTTATGTTTTGTTATTTCAATCGCTTCCCTGACCAATCTTGGTATGTAGTGGCGTTCTGTCGAGATAATCTGTGGGTTATGAAACTCAATCCAGTGGTTAGAACCAGAATCAATCAAATGTTCCGCGATGGCTGATTTCTGCGTATCGTTGTTCTTGATTGCTTTTATGTGTTCCCTCATTCTTATATTACTATAATGTTAGTGACCATGAAAGTTTAAAACAATAAATTGCTCGTTCGATTAATTCACGCCAAAACCTTAATTTTTGTACAGACCTCATGTCACCGTGGCGCCAATTGGTGACATAGATTTTCCTAAACACCTTCATTGGATCGTCCTCTTGATGAAGTTTCCTTCATCTAATCAGAAGACAAAAGTGAAAAACTTTAAGAGGAAATGTCTTGTTTCTGCATCTGCAGTGAGTTATGTTATACCATCTAATGTCAAGATGATCAAAGATCAAGAGGTCAAAAAGATTCAAAGTAATGGATTCAATACACTCATAATAATGATTCAATACTCATAGTAGCCACGACACGTACGCAACGTGTGCGTGTGATGGTGCGTAGTGGAAAAACGAGATAGCGCAAATTTGCGAGACGCCATGTTTACGTTCATCGAACGAATTAGAACAAAGAATAATAAGATTAGTTTCTTTATCTGGCTTTGAATAGTTTTTTACTAAAGACAGGCATTTTTCCGAAAACTCGGGCGCCATTTCCATTCTAGACAGTGCCGTCTTTGACCTATTGGAGGCCTTGGGCATATTAGGATAATGGGGCCCCCTATGACTTCCGTTTGGTGATTTAACAGGAACTAGGGTCTTTGTATTTGATTTGAGGGGGACCCCTATCGATTGCGGGGCATTTGCCCAAAGTGCTAACTGGAAAAGACGGGTCTGATAGTAACCTTAAGTATGGGACACTGTGGAGGTTTGTTAAAGACATCGGCGCTAGTTACAGTTTAGGGTCAGTACAAAGGTATAAACCATGCTCGTGAACAAAGCTTAACCGGCACCGGCTTGGGTGGAAATCGTGCAGAAAACCGGTCGTTAATACAGGTCGCGGCACGTAACTCTAGCGCAGAATAAAACGCGGTGGGGATAGCTGCGCATGGGCATACGACTGGGGAGCCAATCGGGGCAACGCACGCCCGCCCGCGCACCTCTGTATCCCCCAAGACATCTTAACTTTTACTCATGTGCAATAACGGTCAGCGCGCGACATATATGCGCCCTTGAGCTCTATTTTTGAATCACTCGTCGCGTGAAATGTGTTATAAAACCTATTTTTGGTTTATATAGGTACTTAAATTTTTGTTTTTAATCTAAAATTTAAATATGTGTCAAGTCAGCTGATTTTACTTGTCAATTAAAACTCTTGCATCACGCACGTACAAACTTTTATTTCTATAATTATACAACAAAATACATATTTAGCCTAAGAACCAACAATCATGAAATATTATTTTCTAGGTTCGAAATCGTAAGTAAATGACTGTAAAAACAAAGATTATTGACGGACACTTCTGAGAACTTAAATTATTAGGAAAACTAAAATGTTTTTAAGGTTGTTTAATATTCAATGAAACATAGGTCAACCTATGAACTTAGTATATACTCAGTATGAAGTAAAGTAATATTACAACAAATTCATTTTATTCGGTGCGATTTTAAAGAATATCTATCAGGAAAAACTTGGTTAGGTAGGAATCATGAATAAAATAAAAACTGTAGTTTTGCTTCTTATTTATTGACTATTTTTCACATAGTTGTATAATATTGTATATTGTATTTATTTGTATATCACATGTATATTGTGTACTTAAATATGCAGCATGAATGTGTATCGGGTGTTGTGTTCTTGAATAATTAAGCACTATGATCCTCTCAGGATGTGGTGGCACAGGTTCACTAGCACTTGGTAATAAGGGCTCTTCTCTTTGGTAACATCGATGGCATATTAGATAGCCAAAATAGTTAAATTAAAGGAAAAACAATCGCAAATAAACACACACAACAGGTAATCCGAAACGAGAATGCACTTTCCGGTATATTAAACTACTCTTTGGAATGCACGAATGCCACAGATTACTACGAATGCAAACTGCCTTCACCACAACCACAGAGTAACGAGTTTTATGCCGGCCCTTCACTTGACAACAGTTTGTCCTTGTCATGCTTAATAAGGGTAGTTTTCCAATTACAACACTAGAGCGAATTATGCGGCATAATGCTTATCGTTGAATATTTCAACTACAGCAACGCTTCGCACAATCGAGCACTCTCAAAAGTACCTAATGTTTTCGTGTGATGCGTGCAATCTACCAACTCAGTGACAGAAAATTAACAAGTGTTTTTTCTTTAAGTTTTGTTGAAATTTTTTTTTAAAGCTTTCGTTTCATTGTAGTTCTTTTAAAATAATCAAAGTTAATTCAAACTGTGTTAAAAAAATAAATATAAGTATGGATGAAGGTACAAACATTGACTTAGTGCACTCTGCTGGTGCATTTGAAAACTAATTCACGTTCCAATTAAGCATCAGCATAATTCGGCATTGTGCGCCACTGAGTCGCATTATGCTCTGTAATTGGAAAACTAAGCCAAGTGAAGTGCCGGCATTAGGAAGAAATAGTGTTTTGTTTGGAGCGCTGTCATAGATTATACACATAAAATGGTATTTATTGTCTCAGATTATTTTTTAACTTTTTAATTTGGCTTACTTAACTGGAAGTGTCCGTCACAATCTAAATACTGATAATTATCGCAAAAAATATACTAAGAATTATCATAAATGCCAAATTGGTGTTGGTTCTTAGGCCAATTTTAACATTGTCCTTTCGTATCAAACAGGTAACACTGGTGACGAGTGATTCAAAAATACCGAAAATCAGTATTATGCGACTTGAAAGTCGAAGGTGACTTATGTCGCATTCGACGATACTATGTCAGACGAGTGATTCAAAAATAAAGCTCCTTATCGTCTACGCCCTTATGCATTATTTTGCAGCAAAATATCGAAGTCTTATAAATATTGTTCGTGTTTTACATCATACTTTAACCGATAAACGCTATCGGTACCAAGAAGCAAGTATTGTTTATAAATTACCTATACACCGTGAATTTTTAATTACCTGAGAAAATATACCAGCGAATTCACAAAACGATGAAGGTTATAATTTAGGAAATAAAAAGAAATATGTTAATTAATTCCACATCGTGTCCTGGGTGAAGGAGGCAAAGAATATAGTGCGCTATATAAAAGATTTGCCTCTAAATGAATTTAAAACACACATTTAAAATGACTTGCTTAAAAAAGGATATTATACTGTATAACAATATTTGAATGATAAAAAAGGCCTGGTCGTTATTTATACCATTAGTAATTTTTCATAGTTATATTAAACTTGTCTCCTCATGAGGAGTATTGAAGAGAACCTTGCCTTTTATATTAGTTTATACTTAGTGTCGCCGCACACGGGCCACCGACCACAACCACAAAACGCCGCCACCGGCATATTTCTTGTAGTTTTTATACATTTGATATGGACGCGCCACACACGGTACGCCGGTGGCCGCCACACGCTACAAATCGTCGTTGCTCTCTTCTTGTGGCCCGCACCGGCCACTTACTGCGCCGATACATAACGCCGCCATACGTCACTCGCGCGATTCCCCACCCCTCTCTCCCTTACCTTAGTCGGCCGCTGTCGCGCTTCAGCCACTTTAGTAGCCGCTTCTAGCTTCTCGTGGCGGCGTTTGTGGCTTTGGCGTGTGGCCCGTGTGCGGCGACACTTACGTATTTTGAAAATTGTTTCCTGAATATATCGCAGCTGTTGTATATCTATTGTTACCAATTTTATATTATGTGATGGAAGGTGACCTCAATAAATGCTTATAAGTTTAATGTCAGCTTTCAATTTGACGACACTGTATGAAATAAAACAGGGAGAAAAAAGCAGCTCTTACCGAGTTTCTTGCCGGTTCTTCTCAGTTTAAAGTCTCCCAACGTAGATTTGCGAACCGATGGCGTCTAGATTTAGAATTTCCCGTGTGCTTGTAAAAGTCTAAACTGTATATATGAATATTTTAAAACGGCCACCATAGTTGATTATCACTTGCAATGCCAAAAATATTACTCGCACCATTGCCTGTCCTTACTCAAACCAATTCATCATCAGCCTATTAATGTCCCCACTGCTGGGGCACAAGCCTTCCCTATGGATGGAATAAGGATATTGGGCCATGATCCGCCACCCGAGCCCAGTGCGGATCTGCGGGTGCTAACGACTGCAGATGCAGCCGGGCCTTGGCTTGGCACGTTAGGCCGAAGGACGGACGAACATGAGATAGAAGATTTTTGGTCACCCATCCAATGACTGACCACTGCAAAAGTTGCTTAACTTCAACGTTCGCAGCGGAACGCGCTAACCACCTGCGCCATCGCTCTTCTCGATCTCGTGGAGGTTACTTCCCCAGCCGGGCGCTCCAATACTTCCGCTTTAACCTTCTTTGCTATTCTATTCAAATCTTTATTTTTTCATACACTAGGCCTTGGTCCACGTGTCGACTGCTTATAGCAACGCCCCAAGGTCTCACATAGAGGAGACGGTCTACCCGCCACCTTACGACCCTGACAGCATCATGAGATGCATCAAGATGCTACCACCGGAGACAATGGAAGTCATATCGGACTGCCTTCAGGTAAAAATAGAAATGTTCTTCTCAATAACCTAGCGTTGAAAATGCATGTGAATTTCATAAAACAGGTTTTTCAGTATCTCACCCAAGTGATCAATATTTATCTTTTTTTCGTAATAATTTAGTCATTCTCAAAGGTATATCAGTACACAAATATGACTAAACTTTTGAAATTTAAAGTAAAGAAAGGTAATCACCACCAAGGATTGGCTTAACTTTGATTGAGCCGAGTGTTCTGAGGAGTTATTCTCCCTTATCCCTCCATCACCTTTTCTTCAGAGGACCACGCGCGCTGGCCTACGTTGCCATCGACTTACTGTGGCCACTATTCCTACACGAACAAAGAAAGGACATTGTTCTGCGTCCATACATAGTTGGCCTAAGAACCAACAATCATGAAATATTATTTTCTAGGTTCGAAATCGCAAGTTAATGACTGTAAAAACAAGGATTATTGACGGACACTTCTGAGAACTTAAATTATTAGGAAAACAAAAAAAAATAGAGGTTATGTTTCATATTCAATGAAGCATAGGTCAACCTTTGAACTTAGTACCTATGAACTCAGTATGAAGTGAATTAATATTACAACTAATTCATTATATTCGGAGCGATTTTAAAGAATAACTATTAGAAAAAACTTTGTTAGGTAGGAAGCATGAATATAATAAAAATTGTAGTTTTGCTTCTTATTTATTGACTATTTTCACATAATGTTATCATATTGTATTTATTTGTATATCACATGTATTTGTATATTGTGTAAATATGCAGCGTCAATGTGTATCAGGTGCTCTTGAATAATTTGGCAGTATGATCCTATCAGGATGTAGTGGCACAGATTCACTAGCACTTGGTAATAAGGTCTCTGCTCTTGGCATATATATGGCATAATAGATAGCCGTAATAGATAAATTAAAGGAAAAACAATAGCAAATAAACACACACAACAGGTAATCCGAAACGAGAATGCACGAATGCCACAGATTACTACGAATGCAAACTGCCTGCACCACAACCACAGATTATCGAGTTTTATGCCGGCCCTTCACTTGACAACAGTTTGTCCTTGTCATGCTTAATAAGAAATGAAAAGGACAGACTGATGTCATGTTTTCAAATATCAAATACGAATAGCCAAGTGAAGTGCCGGCATTAGGAAGAAAGAGTGTTTTGTTTGCAGCGCTGTCATAGATCATACACATAAAATGGTATTTATTATCTCAGATTATTTTTTAACTTTTTAATTTAGCTTACTTAACTGGAAGTGTCCGTGACAATCTAAATACTGATAATTATCGCAAAAAATATACTAAGAATTATCATAAATGCCTAATTGGTGTTGGTTCTTAGGCCAATTTTAACATTGTCCTTTGGTGACTCATTTCTTTGTCGTACTATTCGTAAGTGGAATTCTTTGCCGGCGCACGTGTTTCCTCCTTCCTATAATCTGGGGTCCTTTAAAAGCGACGCGAAGAAGCATTTGATAAAGTCCAAACGCGAAGATAGCTGGTACAGCAGTTATAAACTGCCACACCAACCATCCTCACCTTGCCGGCCTGTAAAAATGCGGTTGGGAGTTTTTTTTAGTCAGTAAAAAAACTCCCAACCGCATTTTTACAGGCCGGCAAGGTGAGGATGGTTGGTGTGGCAGTTTATAACTGCTGTACCAGCTATCTTCGCGTTTGGACTTTATCATCACTTAACATTAGGTGGGGTAGTCATTTGTAGGGGTAGGCCTACCTGGCTATGTAAAAAAATGGGTGCGTGTACTTATGTAGGCGCGTGAGAAGTTATCCTTCTTTGGCATCGTTTAAAATTAGTTTTTAATTGCATGCAAATAATTTCAGTCATTAATAAAAAGTCTGGAAAAGGACGAAGTCAATAAAGTTCAGTTTTAATTTGAAAAAATAAATAAATAATCAAAATATTCAATTAAAATCGCTACTGAATATAATTTATTAGAACATATCGCACCTTTAGAATTGAAGTGACTTAAATAAAAAAAATAGCAAAATGACTTTTAAACGTGAAACGACATAAAAACATGTATCCTATCAGTTTATTAATAATAAACAGGCTCTTTTAGGCCAGAAGAAGACAAACGCACTATTTCCGTCTCTTTTAAATGACACGCATACCGCGCCTCCCTCAGTATTGAAGTACCCCATTCAGTGTTGCGTGGACATTTATTTAATTTTGCTTTAATTTAGAAAATCATTAATTATTAAACTAGCATATGACAAAATTGGTCATCTATCAAATATATAACATCAGAAATGAATCGCCTCTATATTAAATAGTTACGTTTTTGTTTTACGTTGTTTAGTAAAAAATGGGCACAAAGTGAAATAAGCCAATTATAATAAATTGTTTTCGGAAAATAAGTGACATGTTTTTTTTTTGATGATTAATTAACAAAGGTTCTAATTAGTTATACAGACTGGTTTAGTAAATAATCGTGAAAACAATTCCTATCCTACCATTAACAATAAAAAATATGATAATAAACGTACAACTTATAGCATTATAATAGAAAAACAAAAAAAATGGCCAACTTGTCAATCACATTTATAGCGTTTACCAAAAAACAAGAATTTTGGATTAGGTCACTTCAATTCTAAAGGTGCGATATGTGATTTGCACTTGTAGGAAACTCAAACACGTATTCCGAATATACAAACTAGAAACATGTGGATAAATATTATAAATATGAATACCTATAACTGTTACTTAATAGGACGCCGCGGATCGCTAAGTCACTTTGTGTTTGCTCCTGAGTTTTAAATCGTTTTGGTAGTTGAAAATTTCACAAGTAAAGTAATTCATATATCATTTTGAAGGTCATAAAATATCCTTACTAACAGTAAAATCAGTGGTGTGAAAAGTGCAGTGACTGAAAAGTTCTATGCGATTTATTTTTCAAAGCTTTTGTTTACCGAATATCTACCCTCAAAAACAAAAAAAAAATGGCAAGTACAAAAACGATCTGTGCTGGTTGTAAACAACAAATACCAAATCGATACTTTTTGATATGCTGTCTTTGTAATCAACCATATGATATTGATTGTGCCAACGTATCCGAAAAAAGATTTATAAACACAATATCTATAGAACACAAAAAGAAATGGAAATGTCCTCTGTGTTGCTCTAAAACTCCGAAATTAAATAATATCAATACTCCCATCCGCAACATCGATGAAGACATGGGTTTTAGCAGCAATTTTGCTCAAAACGTTAAAATTAAGCAAAACAGGCGTCAAGCAATATCACCAGTCTGTGACGACTCAATATCTTCACCACAAGGAAATACTATTTTATTGGATGATTCTTCTGAGATTCCGGATCTTGGAAATAATGTGTCTACTTTCAAACAGCAACAGAAAGATGGAGAGCAATCTATCCTAGATCATATAAATTCTCTCATACAAAAAAACCTTTTAAAAAACAATGAGTCCATCCTGCTTGCCATACAACAAATAATTCAAAAAGAGGTAGAAAATACATTAAACGATTTCAAAACAGAACTGAGAGGCAACATACAAAATATCGAAACCAAACATACAGTTATTGAAGAAAACATACAGAGTCTTGAACAAAAAATTGATACATTAAAATATGAGTGTTACAAACTGCAAGAAGAAAACAATAAAATAAATCAAGAATTTTGTGAAATGAAGTTAAGTTCTTCGCCTCATACAGGAAATTCAGATGAATACGGAAAGTATATAGTGTTGCACGGATTAACTTTACATTATAATGAGACAGAAGACGATCTTATCCAACGTATCTCATATATATTTCATGACATTTTAAATATAAACATATATCAACATATAGAAGAAATTACATTTATTGGAAAAAAAGGATTTCGTACTCCACTAAAAATTGAACTGTCAGGTAAAAGAATTAGAAAGTTCATACTCGAAAATTGTTCATTATTCAGAGAAGTTGGATTGGGTGTTAGTGAATACCTAAGTGCAGAGGTCCTAAAAGAAAGAAAAAAGCTAAGAGAAGCACTCCAACTTGCCAGGAAAAGCGGCCAGCACGCGATCATCAGGAACAACAAACTCATCATCAATGGTAGAGAGTCCAATGGTAACATGGATCGGAACAGTCGAAAACCGGAAAAAATACTCCACAAAGATGCCATTATAAGTCATCCCAACACAAGTGAACAGCAGTGTATCACCAGTAAAAACCACTCCTTTCGAAAGTAAATTCTGTATTGTTTATCAAAATATGCAAAGTATAAATAATAAAAAGCATTTACTTGAAGAATTTCTTAATGAAAATAAACACATACAAACTATCTGCATGACTGAAACTTGGCTAAATAAAGAAAGACTGGATATTTTCAAAATAGATGGCTACTATATCAGATCCTATTTTTGTCGCCGAACACGACGAGAAACTGAAGGAGGAGGAGTATGTATACTAGTCAAAGAAGATATAGAAACAATACGAAGAGAAGATATAGAACAATTATCTGTAGAAAATGTATTAGAGATAAGTGCAATAGAAATTACTGGAGCTAGCTTAATAATAATTAACTTATATTTGCCTAATACTAAGCGTAATAAAGAAATATTCATGAACAGACTGGATGATGTCTTAAAGTTGTTATCGGTAAAAGATAAAAATAAATCAGTAATAATAGGTGGTGACTTTAATGTGAATTTTCTAACAGCTAATTCTACAAAAAATATTCTTAAAAACCTCATGTTAACTTATAACTTTCAACAAATAGTTACAGAACCTACTAGAGAATCCTCATGTATAGACTTAGTATTTATAAATTTTTCAAATCAAAATAACATGTTAAAAGTACAAGAGTTTGGTTTTTCTGACCATAAAGGAGTTCTATTTTGCACATCTTTGGGAACGAAAACCTCAAAACAATTTAAGACAGTTAAACGGATATTTAGCAACACCAACATGAATAAATTTAAAATTGAACTACAAAAAATCAACTGGATAGATATACTAAAAATAGAAAACAATATTAACGAAAATTACAATGCCTTCAATAAAATTATTCAAAAAATATTAAATATGTGTATTCCGAAAAAAGAAATTAAATTAAATAACAAACAAAAAAATATATATATAACTTCAGGGTTAAAAATATCAAGCAAACATAAAAGATTATTAAAAATACTTAAAACTCACGCAAAAAGTGAAATTTTAAATAATTACTATAAAACATATACTAAAACCCTTAAAAAAGCTTTTCAAATGTCTAAAAAATTATATAATATAAACAAATACGAAAATTCCAATAACAAAAGTCGAGCTATGTGGCAAATAATTAAAAAAGAAACAAATCAAGCAACCCGAAAAATCAAACAAAATATAATTCTAAAACAAAATAAATGTTTTGTTTATGATCCAAAAGTAATAGCTAATATATTCAATACATATTTTACAGCAATCAGTAACAACAAAGTAGATTCTTGTACGCCTGAAAGTCCTAGAGTTCCTAGTAATACTATACATACTCTATACTTACATGATGTGGAACATAAAGAAACATTTAAAATCTTAAAAAATCTCAAACCTAAAATCTCTTTTGGTATCGATGAAATCCCCCCCCGCTTAGTTAAAAATTGTGCAAGTGAGTTGACCATACCAATAACGAAACTAATCAATCAATCATTCCGGGAAGGTATTTTTCCAGATGCCTTGAAAATATCCTTAGTTAGACCTATTCATAAAAAAGGAGACAGGACTGATTCGTCTAACTATCGTCCTATAGCTTTACTACCTACATTTGCAAAAATTATAGAGACAGCAATGACAAACCGGCTTTATAGCTTCTTTGAAAAGTTTAAAATTCTACACGATAGTCAATATGGCTTTCGAAAAAACCGATCTACTACTTTGGCCATTTACAAATTCATGCAAAAAATATAAGAAGCGATAAATAACAAAGAGTATGCTATTGGTCTTTTGCTTGACATGAGCAAAGCCTATGACAGAGTTAATTATAAAATCCTATTGCAAAAACTCTATAGACTAGGAATACGAGGAAAAGCGCACGATTGGTTACATTCATATCTTGAAAATCGCTCTCAATACATAGAAATAGAAAGCACAAACTTTACTACTGGTATAATAGAACTTATAAGATCCGAACGAGCGTTCCTGACGGGTTCTATCCCACAGGGAAGCGTGTTGGGATGCATTCTCTTCCTGGTCTACATAAACGATCTGCCGCCATATATAGGTCATTTCAGTGTATCATTCGCGGATGACATATCCATAATACTAACTTGTAAAGATACTGAATCTCTAAAAAAAGACCTTAACGCTATATTAGATGATACTACAGACTGGTTAAATAAAAACAACCTACAGTTAAACCTTAAAAAAACTAAACTACTTCAGTTTAAGCCGTATCAAAAAGCACCATTAGATTTAAACTATACATATAAATCAACTAAAATAGAAACTGTCCAAAATACTACTTTATTGGGAATAGAAATTGATACACATATTACCTGGAAACACCATATACAAATGTTGTCAAATAAATTATCGACCTTTATCTATGCCCTTCGACAATTAAAAAAAGTTACTTGTCAGAAAACTGCACTGGCAGCATATTATGCTTACGCACACTCCAGACTATCTTACGGAATTATACTATGGGGAAATTGTACTGGTATTCAGGAAATTTTCGTACTTCAGAAGCGGTGTCTGAGGATCATAACAAACATAGATCAAATGGAGTCTTGTAAACCATATTTTATTCGATTAAATATTTTGACCCTTACTTGCATTTACATATTTGAAGCCTGTAAGTTTATTAAAAAACATTATGAATTATACTCACCTGTGAAAAAAGTTAGACGCAATAATCGATACCAAAATAAACTTAAATTACCTAATACGACATTAAAGATGTATTCGTCTGCTCCGCATGCAATGTTAATAAAAATATACAACCATCTACCAAATAGTTTAAAATGTGTAACTGAAAATAAAATATTTGAAAAACAGCTTAAAAATTTTCTAATAAATAAAAGTTACTATAATATTTCTGAATATTTCAATGACATTTTTTTATAATATAATAAATATTAATAATAATGTAACAAATTAATAATAATATAATTAATACTTGAATAAAATTCTAGTTAATATAATAGTTGTACACTCTAATAATATCTAAATGTTATCATATATTTGGAATCATTATATTTTTGTTTTTTTTTCTAGTAAAAATAATAATAATAATTACTTTACAATTATAAATCTAGCAGTTAAATGCTTAAAATAAATTTATACATTCTTGTTCAACGGATATAATTGTATTAAATATTATTATTAATTATGTTTATCTATAAATAAATTGCAAACACCCTTGCAGGGTGTCACATGTACTATTATAATATATTACTAAATTGTCATCTTTTAACCATGTGACTATGCAATAAAGAATTTGAATTTGAATTTGAATTACTTTATTACAAAAAATAAAGATGTGGTTTTTGGTTCTACTACACCAATGGTCAAGAGATGGCGCTGTAGTCTCCTGAATCGCGCTTTGGTTCCGTTGTTCCAGATTAATAAATACTTTTTGTTACTTTATTACAAAAAATAAAGATGTGGTTTTTGGTTCTACTACACCAATGGTCAAGAGATGGCGCTGTAGTCTCCTGAATCGCGCTTTGGTTCCGTTGTTCCAGATTAATAAATACTTTTGATAGGCCTTCACAATGCAGTCGTAAGCACCCACTAAATAGAGATTCTATTTCTATTTTGTTGGTAGATTTTCTTAATGTGCGGTAAACACAAAAGTAACGCATGAAGTTGGTCGCTAAAGCGACCAACTTCATTATGTTAAAATTTTGTGTTACAGTGATGCGCGCGCATCTTAAAATTTCACTCTCATCATTTTTTCATAACGCGCCTAAAGAAGTATAACTTCAAAAATAATAATAAATAAAACGAAAGAAAAATCTTGTTTATTTTCATATTTATTGGAACAAGGTGCTTAAATAAAAATTTCGGACTTTATTTCTGCCATTATAACGTCTTTTCGCAACCCTTTAGAATGTTTTCCTCTGAATATATGGAAATCTCTATATATATAAAACTCAAAGGTGACTGACTGACATAGTGATCTATCAACGCACAGCCCAAAACACTAGACGGATCGGGCTGAAATTTGGCATGCAGGTAGATGTTATGACGTAGGCATCCGTTAAGAAAGGATTTTAATCAATTCTACTCCCAAGGGGATAAAATAGGGAATGAAAGTTTGTATGAAACTTTATCAAATTTAAACCGTTCGGGCTGAGACTTTGCATGCAGGTATAAGAAGAATCATAGATGAATGTCATTGTGTATAATACAAGCCTGAGAACAAAAACTGTAGTCTACACTTCAGCTCTACACCAAAGCGAAGCACACGGCCGCTAGTGTTTGTATAAAGCTTCATGAATTGATCAATGTGCCTTATGTTTATTGGTCTAAATCCGTCTTAGAATTATTCCCTTGCAAATGAAATTAATTTGGAGCACATCGGTTGGATGGTTTCAAAGACTATATCTTACATATTTTGTATGTTAGGTGATTGTCTTGTGTCTCCGTCCGTTGATGTCCAAATTAGGTCCCTCTGGAGGGACCTATACCAGCGTTGCAGCGGCAATCCATTTTTGCCGTTGCAACATTATGCTGAGGTGGGGCCCAGTTGACGATGTACCTTTTGTTTTATGTTTGTTGTGTATTTATTGTAATTGTTAATGTATGTCGTCAATAAATGTTTTTCTTTCTTTCTTTCTTTCTTTCATAAGGTAGTTTTTTTTATGTATTGATATTAACTTCGTTTTCAGGGGGAGCATCCCAACCCTTACACGCTGACCAAAGCGCTGGCCGAGTCGATTGTCTACAGCCACACGAACCTTCCTGTTTGCATTGTGAGACCATCAATTGGTGAGTTGTATTTTTTATTAAAAGGAAAGGCTCGAAGGTTAAGATCCGCAGATCTGTTGTTATTTCAAAACTCACGAGACCGCAGTTTTCTGCGGTCCTGCAGCTGCGGCGGCTGTGGGCTAAATCTGCCTCATCTGCGGGTGCCGCAAATGCCCGCGCTGCAGCGGGCGTAAATCGCGATGTTATTTTTTTTGCGTGTCACCTACAATTTCACGCGAGTTGTTGCGGCAATAATAATAAATATAATAGTAGTAATAAAGAAGTAAATTAGGAATAAATTTATTTAATGGAACAGTTACGGTATTTTAAAAACCCAGGAACTGTACATCACTAGAAACAATGACGTTCTTCAAATACTAGGAGGTCATTGAATAAATACTTTTGTCAATAGTTGTCTGTGAAATATATTTTTAACTGACAACTTCTATGGCATAAAAATAATATACACTTATGTCCCATTGACCCCGAACAATTTTTCTGACGTCACGACGTATGTCACTGTGGCCGATATCTCAACAAATAATTAAAAAAGGTACATTTAATTATTCAAAAAAATATCGTAAATAAATAGACATTGTACGTCAAACAACTCAACTTAACCTTAGGGTTACCAATATCACTACATAGTATAAAAAACAAAGTCGCTTTCTCTGTCCCTATGTCCCTTTGTATGCTTAAATCTTTGAAACTACGCAACGGATTTTGATGCGGTTTTTTTTTAATAGAGTGATTCAAGAGGAAGGTTTATATGTATAATACATGCATAATATAGTAGAGAAACACTGATAATTTTAGAGGTTTTTAATGTAAGGTCGTAAATAAACACATTTTTTGTGCTTACATTGCAAACGCTGGCTGAATCCCACGAGATAGATCAAAATAATGTACTACAGTATTGTACACCTTAAAAAGGTCTACAAAAAAGTCTGCGATGGTATATGTCTATCTCTTAAGGATAACCCACAATAACCAATTTTTATCCTATACTTTTTACGAGAAATAATAGATTAATTACGAAGCGATTTTAAGCAATATAACATTCATCCTTATCCAATTAAGTACCTTAAATACATTGTGCATTTAATATAGAACAATTTGGCCCTTTAACGCATATAATTTAAATGAATATTTTCGAAGATATTACAAATTTAAAATTCAGGGACATAGCGGTTCCGATGCTACCGGGCGCGTGCCTATTGTAATTGGGTATTAGAAGAATGTCATTGTGTATAATACAAGCCTGACAACAAAAACTATAGTCTTCGCTACAGCTTTACACCGAAGCGAAGCGAGGGCGGGCCACTAGTTTTCTATAAAATTAAAATTTAAATAAACAAAGGAGATCCTCATCTCTAAGAAAGTTGTACACTTAGCACGAACCAATATCGAATTCGAATAGTTTGCGAGTGCGAAATGTCATTGTCAAATGTGTACTGATTTTTAGTTCTCGGTACGTCCGTTATAGCGCTGCTGTTCGAGTTTCCATACAAAATTTGACATTGACATTTCGTACTCGCAAACGTTACCAATTCGATATTGGTTCGTGCTTAGGGTACAGAACCCCTAGCACGAACCTAATGGCTCGATAATTCGAATTCGAATAGTTTGCAAACCGAAATGTCAATGTCAAATTTCGTATGGAAACTTGAACAGCAGCGGCACAAAGTACGTAACGAGAACTAAAAATCAGTACACATTTGACAATGACATTTCGGTCTCGCAAACGATACGAATTCGATATTGGTTCGTGCTAGGGGTACAGTACCCATAGCACGATACAATATCAAATGTGTACTGATTTTTAGTTCTCGGTACGTCCGTTAAAGCGCTGCTGTTCAAGTTTCCATACAAAATTTGACATTGACATTTCGCACTCGCAAACTATTCGAATTCAATATTGGTTCCTGCTAAAGGTACTAAAAATTAGAAATTTAAGACTCTAACACCCATATTCTTAGTCGCGTCCTCAAACGTTCCTCGACTCTAACTCATTCGAGGGCTCCTTAAGGAGTTCCTCCAAATAACCTCGAAATGATATTCTAGTAGGTGACTTGAACAAACTTGAGAATTCCTCCACTGAGAGTACAAACAAAGGTATAAAGCGTAAAAGCATAGACATATTATATGTGTAAAGTAAAATATCACACACCAAACATAGGTAAATACCTACTTGAAATAATCCTGTCACGTAAAACTTCAAAGCCACCAGTAATTGTATTAAAGGCGGTACAGGTAGTCCTCTGTTATTACAATTTAGTGTAATGCTTAGCAGATGAAATATTACTTGTATGAATGTATCTCTCTAAACCGAAATCTTCTTTTTAACGAATCATTGTCGTAAGCCTCAAAAGGATTTGCGGCGTCACGTAAATACCGTCGCGCCGGATAATATGGTCATCATCGTATAAGTAATCCATAAATTCCATCAATTCGTCAATAATCTCAAAATTCAAAATCTCAATAAACAACTTGAAAACACCACTCGAGGAAGCCTTAAGGTACGTCGAGAGCTACCTTGAGTTTGACAGTTTATTCCTCGACTCTACCTCCACTCGAGTGAGGAATATCTCAAGTGAGGGATATTTTTGTTGTCTAAGCATACAAATTTCCTCGAATAAGGTTGAGTCGAGTGAAAAAAATCTCGAGGAAACGACTAAGCACGGAGGAAAAACAAAGCGACTAAGAATATGGGTGTTAAACCTCTTCCCGATAGATGGCGCTGATGAATTCTTTTATATATTTTTATCGGTCAGGCGACGCCTGTCGGGTACCTACGCTTGCCTATTAAACATTTAGAAGCACATCGTATATTCCCATCGACTTCATAAAATAACCACGAGTCTACGGCATCTTTTATCGATTTAACGACAACATATGTTCCATTCACTAGCTGTTACGATTTTACTGGTATCGGATAAGATTTTAAAACGATGTTGAGTAAAATTCCTTTTTAGAGTTGAGTTGAAAGTATTTTATTAGAAATTTTTAAACATTTTAATAACACAAACTTTAAAACTACACAGCTTAACCTACTTACCTACTGAAATCAATATTTTACAAAATGAAAAATATATGTTGAAAAATATCATCATCATCAGCCTATTAATGTCCCCACTGCCTGCGCTGGAAGGCCTGTGCCCCACACAGGCCTTCCCTATGGATGGAATATAGAGATTGGGCCATGACCCACCACGCGGGCCCAGTGCGGATTGGCGGGTGCTAACGACTGCAGATGCAGCCGGGACCAACGGCTTAACGTGCCTTCCGAAGCACGGAGTAACTCGAGATAGTAAATTCTTGGTCACCCATCCAATGACCGACCACTGCCAAAGTTGCTTTACTTCAACGATCGCAGCCGAACGCGCTAACCACTTGCGCAATCGAGCTCCTCAAGTAGAATCGAGAGTTGAAAAATATAATTTGACGTTTCTATCACAGAAATAAGCAAAGGAGAAGAAAAGACTATTGAAATATTTGTATACTAGTGGCCCGCCCTCGCTTCGCTTCGGTGTAGAGCTGTAGTGTAAACTATAGTTTATGTTCTCAGGCTTGTGCTATAAAGAATGACTTTATTTATATAATTACACGTGTTATTGTGAGTCAACCATAAAAGATAGACATATGCTGTTGCGGTATATTTTAGACAATTTTATGTAGAATATTTCCGTCATACATGATTTCTATGTAACTTTAACCATTAAGGCTGCACACGCGACGGAAGCTTAAAAGATGGAGTAACTTCTCCCGTTTTCCCAACATTTCCCTTCACTACTCTGCTGCTATTGATTGTAGCGTGATAAAAAGTATACTATAACCTGCCCAGGAGTATGAAGAATAATTGTACCAAGTTTCGTTAAAATCCGTTGAGTAGTTTTTGTTTCTATAAGGAACATACACACAGACAAACAGACAGACAAAAATTTTACTGATTGCATTTTTGGCATCAGTATCGATCACTAATCACCCCCTGATAGTCATTTTAAAAATATATTTCATGTACAGAATTGACATTTCTACAGATTTATTATAAGTATAGATTATAATATCATTGATTAAAATGAGTTAAAGTACCTGCCATTTTAGAGATTCCCTCTTTTCCGTGTTTATTTTTACAATAAATAAAGAAAGAAAGAAAAAACATTTATTGACGACATACATTAACAATTACAATAGGGATGATGACTAATATTTTTTCTTCGTTCATCAGGTAGATTATCAAAAAGTATTGGACACGTATTTTTTTCTTTTTTCACATAATATAAATATTGCAGCGATATATTGATTTGAAAAGTTGCATGACGTCACGTTTTGGTACAATTTTCACTTAAAAATGACGTCACGAGCACCCACTCCCAAACTTTGACGCGCTATAACTTTGTCATTTTTTGATTGATTGCCCAAAGAAAAAATACGTGTCCATTATTTTTTGATCATCTAACTGACGGACTAAATAGATTTTCGTTTACTGTACCCCGTCATCACCCCTATTAATACACATCAAACATAAAACAAAAGGTACATCGTCAACTAGGCCCCACCTCAGCATAATGTTGCAACGGCACAAATGGATTGCCGCTGCAACGCTGATGTTCTGGAGGTACCTAATTTGGACATCAACGAACGGAGATACAAGACAGTCACTTATTGTACAAAATAAAAGAAGTAATTAATATAATAATATTAAAACAAAATAACTACAATCTGGACCTCAAATCCCTTGCCAAAGGATGGGAAGTCCAGCACAAAAACTTAACATAAGAGGCTGTCTGGGCTCATCTCTTTGCATACAAGATACACAAAAATAAGAAAAATATGCTACTGATGACGACGTGTAATACGATCTTAAAATCTTTATATATATAATTCTTCTGCGAGTGTGTATGTCACTGAACTTCTCTTAAACGACTGGACCGATTTTGATGAAATTTTTTGTGTGTGTTCAAGGGGATCTGAGAACGGTTTAGATTTACAATTTTGTCCGCTGGACAACCCCTATTATT